GTTGTTGTTGTTATTATTGTTATTTATAATTTATACAATTAACCTCCCTATGGTTCGACCCCAGTCTTGCCGGACTATTTATTACTTCGACACTCCTGCACTTGGGAGAAGACATCAATCTTTTAGTCGTGTCACTTGTATTGTGTAGTTTATAGGTCACTATTTTCCACCTTATATAATTCATCATTTTAATAAAGTTGAACACATCACTTTTAAAAAACATTTATGGAATGGCTAATCTAATACGACTCTTTTAATATATTTTTATTAAAGTATATCAATTTGTATCTCATAACATAGTAGGTTATCTTTCTTTCATTGTATATTCAATGCTTTATGTTAGATCTAATTTGTGAGTGACATTGTTGTTACTTTCAAAATAAATAATATATGTATTAATATAACCAATTACAAATTACTTGTAAGATATATATTAATTGTTTAATATATTTTGGGATGAGATGACTTTTATTGTAAACAAAAGAGTATGATAAATTAATGAAATTGAATTGAATAATGTATGAAGTTTTAAATTTTATTTTTCAAAAATTTAAATGAATTAATAGGATAATAAAAATTATATTTTCTATAAAAATAATGTGATTTATTAAGGTTTGCACATAAAGCTTGCAATACATCTACATTAATAAAACAATTAATATGTTATTCTTTGCTAATAATTATTTAATTAAAATTATAGATATGGATGAAAATTTATTTAATGGACTTTTTGATGGAGAGCATGAAAATGTCATGAATAATATTGTTTAATATGCTTCACATGACTATACTAGTAGGAATAGTGATAGTCATATCATTTATAATAATGGTGTTATTGATGATAGCAATGCAGATAATGATGGTGATAGTGATGATAGTAACAAAGATGATGATACTGATGATGCGAGCGATTCATTTTAACATAAAGAATTTAATCATCGTAAACTAGTCTTATGCATAGCAAGCACACTTACATTGTATTACAATAACTATATTGATATGAGTAAAAGATTGATATCTTCTCTTAACTATAGAAGTGTCGAAGTAATAAATAACCCGACAAGACCGAGATCGAACAATAGGGAGGTTAACTATATAAATTATAAATAATAATAAGAAGAAGAAAGAGTTAAAGAAAACTTTGAGATATAAGATTAATGCGAGGATTAAAAAATAATAAAAATAAATTTCAAGATTAAAGGATCCATTAATGGTATTTCAAACAAGTATAGTATAAACTCCTTTTATTACTCAACTAGAAACCACACACAAAAGAAGTTCTAATCAAATTATAAATTGTTAACATAATTATATTAGTTATCTTATTCAAATAATATTAATACTTATAAATGTGGTCAGATATTCATGATTATAACTTATATTAGCAACAAAATAAGTTCCTTTCATAGCACAGGTGTAAGCTATCTCATATAGTTGGGCTATGAAAATATCAAGTATTTGTTATACGAAGGGATATACAATATAAATCTAGATTAATCATTTAATAAGAAAAGTATTAAAAGTGAATAAGATAACAAATACAAAACATGTTAGTATCAAACATTAAAATCTATGTTGAGTTTATACTATACTTATTCTTACACCATTAGTGTAATCTTTTCACCTTGACATAATAAACTTATCTAAATATAATGAAGAAGAGAAATATAAATAAACAAGATAAGAATATAAATAAGATATAAGTTAAATAAGTAAAGAAAATAAAATAAAAAAGCATAAACAAGAGATTAATGAAAACAAAACCCAAGCATTACAAAAATATAAAGAAAGAGAGAAATAACATGATATTGATTTGAAAACCAAGATGTCTAAATGTATGGCAAATGCCTCATTTTATAAGCAAAAATTTAGAATTATTGATTTGTTGACTAATTGTTAAGTGGGTGGCCATATTTTGACTTGATGACAATCTTTATCTTCTTGTTTGAATAAAACGTTAATACCAACATCAGGATTTGAACAAATTATCTTCATGAAAGTTCTATAAAATTATCTCAACTTTCCAACAAAAAAATCGATGCATTTGGACTTCTAGAACTCGATATATGGGCTGAACACTGAACAGTGTTGGGGCTGTAAGACAGATTTAAACTTCTCTTTTGATGCTAAGATTTGGACTTTCAAATGGTAGAATTAAGTCTTGGACTCTTTATGAATGTTTTAGGCTTATGTCTCAACTCTCTAGTCATATAAATCAAATTGAAATCCAGTAAGACAGATTTAAACTTCTCTTTTGATGCTAAGATTTGGACTTTCAAATGGTAGAATTAAGTCTTGGACTCTTTATGAATGTTTTAGGCTTATGTCTTAACTCTCTAGTCATATAAACCAAATTGAAATCCAAGATCTACACCCCCAGATATAACCCAATGATTAAATAGTGTTCTAGTTTCGACTGAACCACCATCTCTTTTCTAAGCTTAGCCTTTTCTTTATCATTTCACTTTCAATAGTTAATCATATCAATTAATCCTTTGATTTGTGATACATACCTGTATTTAAGATGAACATTTACCATAAATTAAAGGTATCTTATATTATTAAACATGTTATTATAAAACATGCTCTAATTAATGAGTTATCGATACTTCAAGTACAAAATAATGATATAAAACCTTGATAAAAATACACTTTTAAGCACCTATCATACATCTATAAGCAATCTTGTATGATTTTATACAACACAAGAATGCATTGGTTAAATGAAATTTTAAATAGGCATTGGATATCTTGTATAAATATATTTAAAATGGATGCAACAACATTTAGAGTCTTTTTTTATTTATTTTAAAACATAATATGGACTAAAACCATTAAAGAGGATCAATTTTATAGAGAAAATTGACGTGTTTATTTATACTTTAAAGTTATATGCTTCTAATAGGAAGGTCCAGGAGAGATTCTAGCATTCTAGTGAAACAATGAGTAGGTATTTAAATGAGGTTCTAAAAGTTATGTGTTTGCTGTCAATTAACATAATAAAACTAATTGATCCAGATTTTTTGACAACACCACGAGAAATTGCTATGAACTCAATATATATGTCACATTTTAAGGTAAAATATAAGATTATTAAAAAGTGAATATATTATATAATCCATTTGGTAATTCATTTACAATTAATGTTATGAAAATATTGTTTTTAGAATTGTGTAGAAGAAATCGATGAAACTTGTGTATACTTGTGTCACATGAAAATCAAATATCATTTTTTGAAAGGAAAGGAGTACCAACGCAGAACATTATGGCATCATGTAGTTTTAACATGTAATTTACTTTTATTTGGGCTAGATAGGAAGATAGCGCACATGACTCAAGAATTTTTCATGAGTCCATCTATAATAAAAATATCAAATTTTTAAAACCAGCAGAAGGTATTTTGGAGAGAACAATAAGACTTCTTTCAGAATTTTCATTTATTTAATTTTTAGTCGCGTCATACAAAATATTTTTTATTTTAATTGTCTTGGGTGAATATACAAAAATATTATGTTGGTAACTCTGGTTATCCAAGTGAATATGAATTTTTGGGTCCATATAAAGGTGAAAAATATCATCTTTCAGAATTTCATCATTAAGGATAGCCGAGAAGTTGGGAGGTGTTGTTCAACTGGGTTTAGGTGTGGAAAAAATGATGGAGAATTTTGCAGAACATGATCATATAAGACACAGGTGCAAATTGTTGTTGCATCAATGACTCTTCATAACTATATAAGAAGAAAGTTTTTGCATGATGTTGCTTCTAATGAATTTGAATATCATCCTAGTTTATACCTAGAGATTTTTTACGTGATGTTCTTCCATGATTATAAACATATAGAGGTAATAAAGCTTTGTATATGGATTGTGTTTAAGATGGAATTGCTTCAAGTTTGATGGAGAACGATATAATTTTTAACTTTACAAATAGTTAATCATAAATATATATTAATTCTTCAATGCCATGTATTAAAAAAATTAATATTCTATTTAGTCATTTCATGTTCAACTAAGCAACCACACAAAAAAAAAAAATTTAAAAATCACTTTTCTAAACCAAAATTATAAAATTAACCATAAAAACAAACAAACAAACTTATAGGCCTCGTTTATTTGGCGGAAAGTGATTTTCTAAAAAGAATTACTTTTTAAATTTTTCTGTGTTTATTTGATATTAGAAAAATTAATCAACGAAAAACACTTTTCAGTCAAAGAAAAATTTAGTTTGGTTTACAAGAAAGTATTTTCTTTTTATTTTGGGAAGAAAACACTTTCTAAAAGTTGTAAAAAATTTAGAAATATCATATTATTTGTTAATTATAACAAATTTGATCTTTAAACTTTTGGTTGTTATATATTTTGTTTTGAATTTTTTTTTCAATTTCACCCCTTAGAATTTGATTTTTATATTAACTTAGTCCTTTTTTTATAATTTTTATTTACTTTTCTCTTATTATTTTTTTATTAAAATTTTTTATCTATCAAATTTGGTTCTCATTCTTTTAATTGTTACTTATTTTATTTGAAATAATTTATTAAATTTTAATTATTATTATTTTAATTTTATTATCTTTTAATTTTTTATATGTTAGATTTGATTTTTATTATTTTAATTATTATGTATTTTATTTAAGATAATTTATAGAATTATTTTTTTAATTTCATTATTATTTAACTTTTTAATTTATAAGATTTGTTTCTTATTATTTCGATAAACTTAAAAAAATATTAATAATTTTTTTTAAATTTATTTTAAATGATATAACCAAATATTAAAAAATATTTTTTAATTTATTTTTTATGATATTATCAAATATAAAAATAAATTTATTTTTTAAAAAAATTATTTTCTGAAGAGAAATTATTTTTTAGTAAACAAATCAGCCTTAAATAAACTTAGGTGTTTTTTTTGTATTTTTTGAGCGCTCACTCAATATCTTTATCCCTCCTTCACCGAGACCGGCTGGCTAAGACTGCCCTCTATCCCTTCTTCTTTCCTTGACAAACCAAAGTCCTCGAAAGCATGACCACTTGTTTACATCTCCGTCGATTTTCAAGTTTCAATCGGAACAATCCAATCCCACACAGAACAATCCCTGAACCCAAAGGACAAGACCTTGATTTTGTTAACGTTGTACATAGTCACCTTATTCACTCTGATTGGGATAAGCTCAACAAATTATCAGCCCATTTTACTCCCTTTAGAGTTAACCATATTCTTCTAAAGATCCAAAAAGATCATGTTCTTTCCCTTGAGTTCTTCAATTCTCTCAAAACTCTAAATCCCATATCCCTTACTCTCGAAACCCATTCCATTATTCTCCACATTCTTACCAAAAAGAGCAAGTTCAAGTCAGCACAATCCATTCTTAGAACCCTTCTTGCTTCCCGTTCCATTGATTTGCCTGGTAAGTTGTTTGATACCCTTCTTTTTTCGTATCGAATGTGCGATTCTTCGCCACGGGTTTTTGACTCGTTGTTTAAGACTTATGCTCATATGAACAAGTTTAGGAATGCTACTGATGTTTTTTCTCGAATGAAAGATTATGGTTTCTTGCCTACTGTTGAGTCTTGTAATGCATATTTGAGTTCCTTGCTTGATTTTCATAGGGTGGACATTACTTTGACGTTTTATAGAGAAATGCGTCGGTGTAGGATATCGCCGAATTCATACACTTTCAACTTGGTTTTGTCTGCCTTTTGCAAGTCTGGGAAACTTGATAAGGCCGTTGAAGTGCTTAGGGAGATGGAGAGTGTGGGAATAACTCCTAATGTCGTGTCTTACAATACTCTGATTGAAGGGCATTGCAATAAGGGTCTTTTGAGCATAGCTACCAAGCTTAAGAACTTGATGGGGAAGAATGGTTTGGAGCCGAATGTGGTTACTTTTAACTCTTTGATTCATGGGTTTTGCAAGGAAGGGAAACTGCATGAAGCAAATAGATTTTTTAGTGAGATGAAAGTTATGAATGTCACTCCTAATACTGTGACTTACAATACTTTGATAAATGGATATGGTCAAGTGGGTAATAGTAATATGGCTTGTAAGGTTTATGATGAAATGTTGAGAAATGGAGTTAAGGCTGACATATTGACTTATAATGCTTTGATTTTGGGGCTATGCAAAGAGGGTAAGACTAAGAAAGCTGCATTTCTTGTTAAAGAACTTGATAAAGAGAATTTAGTCCCCAATGCTTCGACCTATTCTGCTCTCATTAGTGGACAATGTGCAAGGAAGAATTCTGACCGTGCTTTTCAGCTGTACAAAAGCATGGTAAGGAGTGGTTGTCATCCAAATGAACAAACTTTCAAGATGTTGACATCTGCCTTTGTCAAGAATGAGGATTTTGAAGGAGCATTCAATGTCCTGATGGATATGTTTGCGAGGTCAATGGCCTCTGATTCAAATACCTTACTAGAAATTTATGAAGGGCTTTGCCAGTGTGGAAAAGAAAATTTGGCATTGAAGTTATGCCGTGAGATGGAAGCAAGACATCTAATTCCAGAAGGTTTTGACAGAGCTGAACCTTTCAACTCCGTGACAGATAAAGAAAACAGAACCTTTGGATAATGCTGTTAATGCTCGTGCTTTGATTGTATATTTTACAGGTTAGGCAAGTTTGACATTTGGAAGTACCTCTCTTACTTAGTGAGCAAAAGACTAAAGGAGTTTCCTGTTAAACGTCTGTAAGGTACCTTCATATTCATGTTCATTTCTAACTACAAGTTGTGCATGGTTTTACTCTTGGGCATAGTTGATGCATTCATATGTTGAAGAAATTTTCATGCTCATGCTTCTGTTTCTTTTATTATATGCTAAACATCTTCCATTTTATGGAACCATCTTTCCTCTTTTGGATTATGCCAAATCTTTTCTTCTTAGTTTTGGCTTCATTGGTCCTCAACATGACAAATTCTTTTTTTTTTTTTTTGTTAATATAGGAGTTCTATCTTTCTTCGCGAAAACTGTTTAGTGTGTGGTACCCAGTTCATAACATCTGCTGTTGTTTCTTTCCACGTCTTTCTATCATCCTTAAAAGTTAAAGTCGATATAGTCAAATTGAACTAATTGTTTTCATTCTAGTGAAGGAAAGAAAATCCCCATCATTTTCCAGTTAGGCAGGGTGAAAATTTATTCAAGATATAATTGTAAATAGAAATTACAGTAGCTCCATCCAAAGATAGATCACTTTATGAGATGTTGACTAGAGCCCCAAGAAACTTCTTATTTTAGAAACAACCCTGAGCCTGAATTGTAGCCATATTTTCTAATGGTTGAAATTAACTTTGACAGTGATGGATAGTAACTTAAAAGTCCTTACAACCAGATTTGATCCTATTTACAATTAATCAGTGAGGTAAGGAATGCAAGGGGTGGAAATGAAGCAGAATTTAGTGCAGCTCCAAATAACAGTCTAAGGATCCAGGTCGCATCAAACTGTTCTACTCTTTACCCATTTGCCAGTTTCCAGCCGAACTGATATAGAGCTGACCAAGTGGAAGTTCAATATTTCGAATGGAAAATATTCCTGGACATATCTTTTTTCCTGCTTCAATAGAAGATATTTAACGTTGTTCCCTTCTAACTGATGGAGCAACTGAGGAGCCTCTGGTTGAAAGGAATTTGCATCAATGCCTTGTTGTGGATCTCTACTTATTGCCCACACATTATAATCGATCTGTTTCTCCATGGTATCATATCCCCATTGGTTTTCTGTTACCTTTCATGGAAGTAAGGGGACTGGAGGGTGTAACCTGAAGAGGTTTTTTGACAACTGATCTCTGATAATTTGGTTTCCAAGTGTTCGACTCTTCTAGTTTTCTCCTTCAAAGACTTGTCACGCCTCAGTCTGTGCCCTATCCAATCCTCCAGGGCCACTCAGCAACTCTGACATAGCCCATTCTATGGTTGTTACTGTGGTATCACTCCCTGCAGCAAACATACCCTGGAATGGGCTGAACTGAATTTTAGTTCCATGGACTAAATTGCAAACATGCTCAGAATCTTTTTGCATGTGTATTTTTATGGAGTCAGCAACACATTGAGTGTTATCACTGTGATTTAAGGTCCAATCTTTCCTTGAGCTTCATTTTATATATTTAAGGTTGGATCTATATCAGAAGATGCTGTAATCTGAATTTTTCAGAAGTCACTGTACTCTTTGGCCTGCCAACCATGTATCTTTTGGTGCCTTGTATTCCCTCCTCTAAATGCTCTGTATTTCTTACAATTTAGGTGCTTGAATTTATTACAGATTATTGAGAATTTGTGATGTACAGTACACATTGTTTCTAAAGAGTTAAGTTTTCAATGCACTGTGTTTTATAGTGTTTATTCATGTTTATCAATAATATTTAGGAAGAGTTTAGCATTACTTCCAAGGGGAAATGACGTGGCAACTACATCTGTATATGCTATTGATGGTCAGTGATGATTTCTACCATGGCCAGGTGCTAGATGTATGTTCAGGCCACTGGTTTTAGGGAATATAGGTCTAATCATATCTATAAAAAGAAACAAAATTTAAGCAAGAATACTGCAAGAGTAAAAAACCTTTCTTTTATGACACTTTTAATGTTGGCTGCGATTTGGAAGTCAAGGTTACTAGACTCTTCTAGGTTTAAAAGCACTTCCACTAGATCTTCCTTGCTTGATGAATGACTACCTGTTTCTTTTCTTATTCTATGCTCATTGATGACTTCGTTAAGAACCATGTCATCTTCTTGGCTCGTTCTCTTTTGGAATTTAGAAGTTTGATATGGGAAATACTAGATAGGTGTTTCCTGGCATGCTACAGGCTGGTTTTTTTAATATAAAAAAAAATATAGAATATAATAACCTGGATTAACTTGAAAAATTAATATGATATCAAAATAACTTACAGAAAAAAATTTGTAAAAAATTATAAAACTTAAAGTTTTATAATATTAGATATAATATAATATTTAATAATAAAATTAAAAAAAAAATTTAAAAAAAAAAATTAACTTTAAAAAATATTTAAATCAATTTAAGTTAACTTAATTAATCTATTATTTGTATTATTTGTGATATAAGATTGGAATAAAAAAAAAATGTTGTGCATAAAATCAAATCATTTAGTTGTGCTAAAAAAGTGTGGATTAATTTATCCCCGACTAAACTTATTATGCCTGATGGATTTCTTGGAAGAGCAAAAGCGTCATTACACTGTTGCAACAACAAACAATCTAATTTACACTGGAGAAGTTGAAGCCTTCCCGCCCGGTATTGTTGCTTCCTTGATCAAGGTTATCAACTCACCGGTCATTTACCTTTTTACTGATAGCTGGATGATTCACCATTCATCAACTGGAAAAATTAACTCGCGGAGGTTGATGGGATCGCCCCGTGAAGAGGAAATGGATTTAAGAAGATTCCATGCTCTTCTGTCATTGATTTACACGATTGGATGTGTATGTAGGGGCTTCAAGGCACAGATCTTTCATGTCTGTCACCAGTAACTGTCACAAGAGAGATGAAAAGACTAATTTGAGCAAGTATGCAAGTTCAATATTAGCAGTAGCAAATAATATCCCTGGAAAATCCTTCTACCTGCTCTGAATCATTCTAATATCAGCTGGAGGATCTAGGCGTAGAGTTTCCTTGGTAACTTCTCTCACGTAATCCAGATTTTGAATGTCTACCTCTTCTATTTCCATCATTGTATCCACTAAAAGCTTGTCGCACCTCACCTCAACTTTCGCTTTCTCCGACCGTTACTCTCGACCTTGCCCACTCCATAGTCGTTGCTACCGCTTCAGTCCCTCCAGAAAAGATTGTCTTGAAATGAATCCAACTGGTAGCTCAAGGAATGTTAATCAAGTGGTCAGTGAATCAGTGAAATTTATATCTCAAAACGACCATTGGTTTAGGACGTTCTTCTGCCTTTCTAAACATGAAAAACAATATTTTGGGACGGTGCAATGTAGCATATGAGAAACCATTTTCTCCACCGCATCAGTTCCATAATCTTCCTTACCAGAAGAGAGAATAGTCACCCTCCTCAACCCAGTGGTTGAATACGAACAACTGTAGGAAAAATGGCTGGTAATGTAATGTGCATGCTATTTAACTCATATGGTAATGTAATCACTGCAATGATCTAGAATCAATCGCCCAAATGTCTTCATGTGTGCGCATGCTCGCGCGCACACACATGTTAAAGAAAGGGATGATGAAACGATGAATGCAGGTAACAAAATGGATTGAGAAGCATGAAAGAAATCTACAGATGGATAACAAACATCGCATGAAATATATAACCACTTTGTTAACTGTAATATTTCATTTATTGTAAGGAACATAAATTGTGGGGATCAAATGCAAATTATGCTTCTTTCTAAAACATTCACTCATGTCCAGTTGCTACTGCTTCAGTCCCTCCAGAAAAGATTGTCTTTTAATGAATCCAACTGAATCTGGTACCAATTAATCAAGAATAGAAGGTGGTTTGATGACATACGAAGATCACAGCTTTAATGTGATTGGTTGTGAGCTGCTTGTCAAGCTGATTGGAATCCTGAAGCTTTAGAAGCACGTCAAGCAGATCTTCCTCAACCGATTCGTCATTTGAGCTTAGTGGATTTCCTTTCCACCTTATGGCCACGCGCAGTATCATTAAGAATCTTGTCAATTAACGAAGGAATCTAAGGGATGATGGGTACAGATCAGACATGTTAAAGCCCCCAGAAACCCGTATAGCTTCATTAATCAATGATACAGAATTTAAGGCTAGTAGAATCATCGTATGAAACTAGTTCAACTGCCAGAACTGCATGTCTTTGAGCAAAATGGAGTTTTCTTGTGAGATAGAAGGCCAGAGAAGACAAGGAGGGGTAAGGACGATGATATACAAATTTGAGTACACTTTTGTGATGAGGCAAAGTGCCTGTAACTATATGTGAATTCAAAATCATTTTTAAAAACAAAATATCAAACTGAAAGTGACGAAAAGAAGCATCCATTACTCTGTTTGCAGTATTTTATTAATATTATTCTTATTTTGGCAACGAGAGAATCAGGACCGACGAGAACGATGCTACTAATCCATGATAAGAAGACATGCTTACCGGTCAATCTAAGACCATAGGGTTGTTCGAGATTCTTTGTATATAAAAAAATGCAAACTATCAAGCTAATCTAAAATCGAATACAACAACGAGTTTCTTCAATTTTACTGTTATAAAATAAATCACAATTTCATAGAAAATTAGGGTTTTTCTTAATTCAACTAATTGGGTCTCCAACGTGGAGAATGGTAATCATATGCGACCATTTCTATGATTAGACCTCGTCACAAAATAGTACTATGATCATATCAGATGGTAAAACTTCATTCCCAAGAGTAAATTACTTATCATAACCCCCAAAGAGTTGTATCGCCTTTCCCTTAAAAAATGAGAATGCGGGTATTGAGTGATAAATAATAATAATAATAATTCCAATGCTTGACAAATTAATCACGTTGCTGCTTTCAAAAATGTCGTTGACATGTTCAGACAAGTGTACAACAATTTTTCGATTACATTTATCCCTAAAGTGAAGCTAATAGATTCCAGAGTATTCAATTAACAGTCCTATTAGAGCTTACTTGAGTCAATGATACCAGGGTTGTGTAGAGGTCACATTTCATCTTCATCAGCTTCAGCAGCAGATATTTCAGAGTCCAATTTATTAATTAGCTGCTCACTTATGTGACGAGCCACGGAAATCATATCAGAAATAACACTCGGATCAAGACCTGCACTTCCACGTTTGGAAAGCCCACAAATGTGCCCTTTCCTGCTGATAGAAACAGAGACAGCAGAGCTCATCTGGGACTCTTCTTCTGAAGTGGCGTCTACAATGTAGTGCCTCCCCACCTAAGATTGAGGAGTAGAAATTCATGGTTACACAGAACTCTTTAAGGTTGTTAAAATTGTGAAGAGAAACAGTTTAACTGGATCACCTTTGTTAGAGTAACTATAACAGGGACCCCAGAAGTGTCAAATTGCAAAAATTCTTCATCACTTATGTCAACCTCTGGTTGCTCATCTCCTGATGCACCGGCTGCAACTTGGACTCTTGGGATGCCTGTATTGCTTAAGGCAGCCTTTGGAGATAGCAGCATGTATATTAGTAATCAGTTTCAACTACAAAAATCAACTACTCTCGAAACAAAGGCAACTTTAGAATAGCAAGTGGTTGTGAGTTGTGGCAGAGACAATAGCAAGGTGCAAAGACTGCTATGAAACTCATGCTTTATCAGACAAGCCCAAACTTGGTGAGTTTTGACATTCTATCAACTTTGAAAGAGACAATACTAGAACTGAGAGAAGTCTGGGAGAAAAGTGTGATTCCATGTTCAACCAATCCAATCACCATGTTTTTACCATATGTTACCAACAGCCATCACATCGATCCATATGGAAAAATGAATGAGACCACTATCAAACATATAAATAACTAGTAGAGTACCTTGATTGCAGCACCTAGAGCATCAAGAAGATTTCCATCTGAACTGATGACAAGCCCATCAATGTAAAGATCCCAACAAATTTTTCCTTCTGCGACTATTAAAGATGATAGATCAATTCCAGCCCCTGAGATAAATTCAACCATTTCATAATCAATTTCAATAGCAAGAACCCATAAAAATAATGCATTATTAGAGGATGCAGGGTGAAATGCCAAATGAGAGAGCAAACATGACACCACAGATTTGTGGAACTTGTCATGCACTACTGAGAATACAAACCTGCTCCACTTTTACCACCCATTAGACAACGCTGAAGAGCAACTGAGAGTTCTGTGGACAGTTCCTCACCCCCTCTGCCCTGAGTAGATGTGAAGACAGGTTTAATTTAAGAAGAAAGAGAATTATACTGGTGAAAACAGCTTGGAAAATTTCAAATGAGCTCTTCATTATGTAATGGAAAACATTCAGTTAAAGAACGAGGGAATACAGCAACGAGCAAAACACTGATTTAAAGTACATACAGATTCAAACAATGGATAAATGAGACCTGCAAGTGTTAAACCAAGATAAGGATAAACATTTAATGAATGTTAATTGCCAAGAAATTATGTTACACAGTAGATTGAGAAGCCTGGCCATATGTGAAACGAAAGTTTACAGAGTAGCAACTCAACTCTGGAGCTATGACCATTTTAACTAGATTGGTTGGGACAAATGTCTTATGAATGACTTGCTACAAACAAGGCTCTATTAACAGGGCAGAGACAATAGGAGAGGGCAGGATATAAAAGCATACAACCTCGAACATTGGTTCTGCAACTGGACTACAATCAACAAATATAGCAACTTTTCCTTTATCA